CCCCAAAACCCCAAAACCCCAAAACCCCCGCACTAGAACTATCAATAAAATTATTTAATAATCTTAAATTAGTTCTGATAAATTAAATGACAAAGTCAAGTATTTTAATTATTTTCACAACTCACTTTTCTAATTAGCAAATAACCCTTTGTTTCTTTCATCACAATAAGCTTTAAGGGTCACCTTGATCTAGTTATGGAAGTAATCAAAATATCGTTTATCAGCATTTGATAGCAATTCCAAATTTAATCTGATTTTTCCCTACAGGGCTAATTCATTTTTATAATTTCTACAATCATCTATATAGAGACCAGCATCTTTCAAATGGTATATACTAGCATATCTATTTTTGCTGATTTCTATAATATCCAATTTATCCTCAAAATCCAGTTAGATAGAATAGTCATCCAAATATTATATTCCTAGTTTCTCTAGTAATTCATATATCAAGATTGAAATCAATTTATAAGATTAACCATTTTGCTAATAAAGAGTTGAGAGTTGTCTTAAGGCAAATATTCCCATATCTAAACCAAGCTGCTGGAATCTCCTTAGCTAGGAAGGATTAATTATTTCAGAGGAATTAGAAAACATGATATAATCATTACTAAATAGTATCTTCTCATTAATAAGATCATCAAAAATTTCATTTAGTTTGTATTGCAATTTTTATTAATCTTATATAATTGAGCTGTTAAGGAAGTGAAACATCAATTTTGACTGATTTTCTAGGAGAACCTTATTTGAGTATAGATAACTGTTAGATATGTTATCTCCAGGACTTAATGAATAAAGAATAATAAAGTAATCTACAGAGTCCTTTAATTGCTCAATGTGAAGTATTAATGACTTGATATCCCCTTAATGCAAGACACAGTCAAAAGTCAATTTTTATTGCATGATTATTAACTTTTTCTAATTTAATTTCTCTATGTACTAATCATTGAAGTACTTATAGAAAAGGTCTAGATCTTTGATATCTTATTAAGTCCAAAATGGCAAGTGTCTTAGACGATCATTAAATTCTTTGCTAAATTGCTCAAAGTCAAGATCTTCGCAGGTTTGAATAGTGTCGTATTAAAACTTTAATTGCAGGAAAATTTTCAAAAAGCATTGAAAATTAATGTCTTCAAATATTTCTGGATAAATCCTTTCTAAGATCTCTATTTACTTGAGAGTAATTTGCTTCTTGTAAGATGATGTCTCTGACTTTTAGTTTGAAATTTTATTGGAGTGTACTCTAATTCCAGTTACATGCTTAGGCAATACAAAGAATCTTATATTCTCATTTTCAAGCTCAAACAAAAGCTTAATCCATAATGAGTAATCATATGCAGCCTATTAGCTGTAACTAAAATACTTTTTCATTCTGTCAGTCATTCTCACTGTTACTGTGCTGTGGGAGACGTGATTAAGAATCAAGAAGAAAGCCTTGGCTTCAGCGAAGTTATTCACATAATTTTATGCAAAATACTTAGGCCTTCCAATTTCTGAAATGGGTTTATAGGCTGATCCACATATCTCATAAATTGGATTTCTTTTTAGAAAATCAATCTAGTATTCTAATCTGAAGGGCATCATAATGTCATCATCATCTTATATTGCAATATATTCTCCCTCTGCATATGATATGGCATAATTGAATGAAAAAGCTTCATTTTGATCTGTATATAAATAGAATACTCTTATCCTTGGGTGCCCATCAAGTAATTGAAGAATTTTGTGCGTATTTGGATTGCTTGAATTATTATCTGATATAACTAGCTCCCAATTAACATAACTCTACTCAAGCACATAAGAAATAGACTTTATTAGAAAATAATCTCTGTTGTGGCTAGACATAACAACTGAAGCAAGAGGATATTCCCTAGGATATTTCCTTGCCTACCCTTATTTCCATAAATGATTATGGATGAATTCAATTTGACTATAGAGCTCGAGCATTTAGTACTTGAATAACTTTTCAAATGTCATGTAAAGGTCAATCATTAGATATCTGACAACTTCTAGATTGCTTTCGTCACAAGCTAGAAAGTCATATGAACAGTTTAGCAACGAAAAAAATTGAGGAGCAGTGAGACTAATATTTTTGCTATTCAAATAATTGTCATAATGCTTAAACTTAATCGTGTCTTCCTCTGCTTAAATGACTGACTCATCCATAAATATATGGTGATAGTTTTCAAGAGTTATCTAGACAAAACTCTCCATACTAAAATTGACCTCTTCTAATTTTACTATCTAGTTAGTAAAAAAATACCTATCGATATTTTCATTGGTCTAGTTAAGTATATTTGTGAAGAATACTTTTCTCATGAAGATAGAAGCTTCAAGTCTGAAATCCATAGAAAATAGAATGACATCTAAATCTCTTTAATAATCTTGATCAATCAGGTAAGCATTCTCTAATATCTCTCCTTTGTGATTCAATATATTTATCTCTGATACCATTACATTACATTTATAAGTTTTAGTTTCTATTATTTATTCTCTTATTCTTTCATTTTTACTAATAGTTTTAGCATGTACCAATGAAATGTACTCACCATTTACAAGATGAAGGTAGTTTTACAGAATTTTAGCGAAGTCATTAAAATATTCTGTTTGAATAAACTTGATATTATTTTAAACCTTGAATTAAGGATTGACCTTGTCAATCAATTCTTTGCTTTTAACTGCAGCAATCACTTCAAAGTAAGGGAAATACTAATTGTTTGTAAAGTTTAAGTTCCTTTCTAAATCTTCTTTATTTCCATCACCATATATAAGGATGGTAACAAAGTTCTGATTGAATTTATTATATGGAGTATAAGAAGCCAACAAACTCTGTGAAAGAACCAAAATTAATAACAAAAATTGCCTAAGTGTTAATTTCGACATATATCTTAATGATTATTTAATACTTTATTGATTTAGCTATCTATTTTATTAATTCAACATCCATCGGGGTTTTGGGGTTTTGGGGTTTTGGGG